GGGGGGTGTCCGGACCCGATCTGCGTCCTGTGCTGTTCCGCTAATGGGAGAGGGCTGTGCATCTCCTCATACGGTTCTGTACCGATTATTGTAGATCTATTCGTACTCGCATAGATTGTCTAACCACCCCTATGGAGGACTACCCCGTGCGTTACGCAACGGGTTGCTATACTTGTTATTGACCTGTACCCTAAAGGTGGCCATACACTCTACAACCATCGCAAGACTTTAGTCTTGCGATGGTTGTACAGGGATTAAAAAAACGTACGATCTGCCTATCTTGGACAGGCAGATCGCACTCTCGATCATCGCAAGCCCGCCCCCCTGAGGGGCGGGCTTCCGATGACCGCAATGCTGAACGGGCAGTGTGCGCGTGCGCACACCGGCCCGCTCGCCATTTGTCTTCCGAGCACCGTTCTAACCAGCCGAGAATCGTACGATTCCCGGCTGGTTTTCGAACATGCTGGTTCGACAGAAGACGTGCGACCGTACAGTAGAAACGGTCGCACGTCTCCGTTCACACTGCTCGATTATCGTACGAAAACCCGATCGCATACGATTATCGTACGATAAACGTGCAGTGTATGGGCACCTTTAGTCTGGTCAGGATTCATACACTCTTGGGTGTATACCAGTCTGCCTAAGATTGCCACATCCTGACCGTGGGCACGCTACCACACTAGTTTTCTCCATACATACCTGCTGGTTCTCTTCCTCAAACCCCTCCTACTACTTTTTTCTGCCCTTCCCTTCCCTCCTGGATCGCTGCTTGTGCCCTGTTGGAACAAATGGCGGATATGATGTTCACCTCCCTGAATGTACAGGGCCTAAACATCCCCGAGAAAAGCTCTAGACTGCTCACAGATTTGAGGACATCTGGCTCTCAGGTCGTGTTTCTTCAGGAAACCCATTTCCGAAGTGACCAGATCCCCAGGTTGCTCAATCGCGACTACCCCTGTCCATCCCCCATCTCAAAATCCAAGGGTGTCTCTATTCTCCTGGCTAAGTCGGTCCCATGGACTTACACCGATCAATACATTGACGCCAACGGCAGATTTATTCTCCTGAAGGGCACAATAGGTGGCGTCCCGGTGACCTTAGCCAATGTTGACTTCCCAAACTCAGACCAACTGGGCTTCCTTCGCACGCTGGTGCAGGACCTCTTAGAATTTGTAGATGGCATCCTGGTGCTGGGGGAGGGGGGACTTTAATTTTGCAATAGACCCGTTATTGGACGTATCTAGGGGTACCTCCCACCTGTCCTTTTCATACTTGAAAAAACTGAAGTAGGAGCTCCACCTCCTGCACCTGACAGGCACTTGGCGGTTCATTCATCCACAGGATAGGGACTACACTTTTTTTCACAAGCCCACCAAACATACTCGAGACTGGACTATTTTTTTGTACCACATAAAGAACTCCCACGGGTGTGTTCAGTCTCGATTGATAACATCCTCCTATCAGATCATGCTCCTTTGCACATGTCTTTAGCCTTAACCACGGCCCCCACCCAATGCGTCATGTGGCGATTAAATGAATCGCTTTTGCAGGACCCTCGGATCAAATCTGACGTGGAAGCTGCCTTGTCCTCCTTCTTTGCCATCAATGTCCCCTCGGTTGCGTCGCCCGCGATTGCATGGGAGGCCCATAAATGTGTCATACGGGGCGTCCTAGTGAAACATGGGGCCTGTAGGAAAAGGGAGGGAAGCTAAACAACGCCTACATACGCTGGAAGCCGCGTATAAACATTCCCTGGCGCTCACAACACAGGTAGAGCTGCGTCTCGTTAGGGAGGAACTTAATAATTTGCTGTTCGCTAAGGTGAAGCGGCGTCTGTTGGGGGGCAGGAGAACACTTTACGAATTTTCAAACAAACCAGGGAAACTCTTAGCACGGGCCCTGAGAGGTAAGCAGACCAAATCCTTTATCTCTCAGATTAAAGCCTGAGCCGGCCATATGATGTCCTCCTCGAGTGACATGGCGGAAGAGTTTAGATCATACTACGCCGGCAGGTATCAGCATACTGACGCGCGTGCGCGATGACGTCTCGGCGGGGTGACACTCGTTTACCGCTCGGGGTGTCACCCAGCCTCGGGACGCCCCTACTATAAGGACCTGTATAACTTGCATCCAGCGGAGCCAGGGGTGGCCCGATCACCTGTTGCCGCTGAAGCACGGGAATACATTACCAAATCTAAGATGCCCTCTATACCAAAGTTGGACAGTTTAGCGATGGAAACTGCTATTAGTTTGTCAGAATTGGAGTCAGCTCTGAGGTCAGCGGGGGCGGGCAAAGCTCCGGGCCCAGATGGCTTCACGGTAGCGTACTACAAATTATTTCTACCAATTTTCTTTCGGCCTATAATTCTATATTACAAGACCATCCCCTGCCCAGAGACATATCTTCGAGCATGGATCACACTCATACCAAAGGAAGACAGGGACCCGACTCAGTGTAGTAACCACAGGCCGATTGCACTCCTGAATGTGGACCTTAAATTATTTGCCAAAATCATTGCCAACAGGCTACTTCCATTCATGCCCTCCCTCGTTCACCCAGACCAGGTGGGTTTTATCCCTTCTAGAGAGGCCCGGGACAACACCACCCGGGTCCTGCACATCATACACCTGGCCAAATCCAATCAACGGCCTCTTCTCCTGCTCTCCACGGACGCCGAAAAAGCCTTCGATCGGGTCAACTGGGGTTTTCTGCAGGCGGTCCTACGCCACATAGGCCTAGGGGCTAACATGCTCTAGTGGATCTCAGCACTCTACTCTACTTCACCGTCAGCTGCGGTCAGGGTTAATGAGGCGAAATCGACTGACTTCCCCCTATCCAATGGCACCCGACAAGGGTGTCCACTCTCACCCTTGATTTTTGCCCTCTCCTTGGAACCCTTCTTGGGTACCATTAGGGCATCGACTTCTATTCAGGGATTCAGCTCCACCCCGTGGGAACAGAAGGTAGAAGCATATGCGGACGATCTGATTTTCTTCCTCACTGACCTCCTGACGTCCACACCTCATCTGCTAGATGCCCTCGCAACCTATGGACGCCTATCAGACTTCAAAGCGAACCTCTCTAAGTTCGCCGCCCTGAACATCACCATACCGCCCACTACACTCTCCCGCTTACGGACAGGTTTCCCCTTCACATGGGCTACGGACAGCCTCAAATATCTGGGGACTCGCATCACAGCTGATATCCCTGAGACATCTACGCTGCTAACTTCGCGCCCTTACTGGCAGAGGTAACCAGGGACTTGGGGGCGTGGTCGGCACATACCATTTCCTGGTTTGGCAGATGT